AGCACGAACTTTACGAACCACCGTGTTACGAGGTGGGCGCTGATGCTTCAGGACTACACATTCGACGTGTGCCACATTAAAGGAGAGGACAACATACTAGCGGACTTGTGTTCGAGACTAGTGTGATGGCATAAAAAGACTATTTTAGTATAGTATTGATATGTATTTTGTAATATGCCTATATAAAATGTATGATTGTATTATAATGCATGTCATTGTTGTAGTACATTTAGGAGGGATGTTGGTCTTTGCTGTGTGACTAGATAGTTAGTATTGAGTATCGGAAGTTGTAGCTTTGGCTTCAGCTCTTGTCATGGTTCCTAAATTCCTTTGCTTATTCCAGTTGTTTAATAATTAAGTTTTCAATGTCTTTTTAAAGACTGGACATGTCTTCGCAAGATCCAGTTAGGGGGAGAGGGGGGATGTCATGCGCATCTTCTTTTGGTGTTTTTCTTGTGTACCCGAAGAGATTGCGAGTTTTGGTTTCTAGGAACGCGCTTTTGTTGATGTCATCTCTGTTTACTTGTTTTGCTTCTGTTGGGTGATGAGGCTAGATCTCCTGTGAGTTTCTTATGGGTTTTCTTTCCCCAGTATTGGGTAAGTTATTTATTTACTGTATTGGGCTTCGTAGTGTAGCTCGAAATTCGTTGTTCCTACGATCGTGTGGACGGCGATCTTAAGAAATACGTATTTTCTGTAATAGGGACGCAAGCTTGGGACTCTGTTGGAGTCAAGCTCGAGTTACAGTGTTGTTGAATGGCCCGTGTATCTAAGGTCTTGAGTGTAGGATGCGTCGTGATTGAATTATGGCCTCGAGGGAAGGTGTGCTATGTTTCGTTGCCTAATATGTATACTTTGTGTTTCCTTTGAACATACTATTGACTTTTATTTGTCACTCATGTCATCATATCTCATACATTCATTAAATTGTTAAACTTGCAATCTTGTTGTTAAATACTGTACATTGCTGTTGCCGTTAGGTTTTGTCGTTACTCTGTTCAGGCTGGGGATATGGGACCGTAATATCATACCCTAGTTAATCGGCAAAACCCACCCTGACAGTGCAGAGGCCTAGATGTTAATGCCCATACTACGGCCCGCGGACTATATCCGGCCCATTGCCTCCAGTCACTGGGTGGATAACAGAGCACTTCGATGTGGGCATACCAGGACTTCCTGTTGAATATATGTTATAGCTTATGGAGTGTGTGTGTGTTTCTGTGGTGTCAGTAGAAAGAGGTTTGCGATTGGTTGTGAATGATGCACGATAAGTGTCATTTTCGTCAGCTGTCGTATGTAGGGGAGTGACTCTAGAGCGCCAGACTGAAAAGACTTATTGTAGTGAGTTTGATTTTGGTACAGAATACCATTGTGATACTATTACCAAAGTCTACTATATTTACTGCATCTCATCTCAAGCTGCTTTCGTCTATATTGTAATAAGTTATATTTAGTTTTGTAAGTGATTCAAGTTTTACAAGTTAAACTATAGGCCTAATACACCTACAACGGTTTAGTTGTCTACCAGCAGTTTGGTGCAACAAGCCAACGACCGGCAACAACAGGGCTCATGTTGAGTTCATTGGGTGTATCTCTGTTGTAATATACAGTCCAGCGGTTAGGGTATTTATACTTTTCTGTCTTCTTGTAACCATGGTGTAACTTTTCTGTCTTCGTGTAACTTTGCTTGTTGAGTGTGTTCTCTTTTGAAGAAGAAAAAATAAACGAAAAGGGGGGGGGGGAGCTGCAAGCATCAAATTGTTGTTTATATTTATGAAATAAAAAATAGTCTATTGTGAAGATGAGATCGTACGAACAGTCTAGTCTTGTGGGCTAAGTAAAGGGTGTACTGAACCACTTGTTACTTGCCAATTCTAAATCTATGTTATTTAATGAGATTTTAAACTTTACCTGTATAAGTAAGATTTTCCGTTATATAATAAGTTAATATAATTTTTAAAAAAGAGTACCATTCTTTTCTAAAGGTTTTTAATTCAAGGCAAAAATACAAGCACACATATTTATTTAGACATTTTTTTTATATTTTATTGTGCATTAACTCTTCAATTGATGAGCTGAATGCATACAAAATGGTCTTAAGGGTTAAACGTTTATGTAAGAAACATATTCCTTATTTAATTACTGATTTTTATTATGAATATATATTACTACAATGTTAAAAGAATAAGATCGAGCCGTACCGTAGGCATACAGTCGGATGATTATCTCTATATGATTAGTTCAACCCCGACACCCCCCCCCCCCATCCTTCCCTATGAAAAGTTTGTATAATTTTCTTTAGTTTATATTTTGAATTTTAGTTGAAAACTAGTTTTGGTTTAACTTTTAATAGTTAGTTTAGTTCCCATCACTATTGATTGGCTTCAAGAGATCTAATTACATGCTTGTTGTTTGTAAAATGTTTTACATGTTTCGGATGTTCCTTCAGAGTTGAAGATAATTACTTCCTAGTCCAAACCTCCCGCAGGACGACAGGGGATGGGAGCGGGCAGGGTTTGAACCCTGGACCATCGATAAATCTGAACGACAGTCCAGCGCGCAAACCGCACGACCAGGCAGCCATTGTAGTTATTGTACTATGCACACGAATGTCTCAATTCTGATACACAAAAAGGGAGTTAACACGACTAGAGCATAAAGGGAGTTAACTTTGCCTTAAGTCTAATAAAGTACTGATCATAGACTTATAAATACATCTTTCAAAACAAAACAAAAAAAATAACAAGAGTCGGATCCCTGTCGGATCTGCCTATTCGCAGGGAATATTCAAGAAGTGAGTTCATTTTGATGGTCAAAAGTAGTAATGTTTCAAAGATTCATTTGCCGTTGTAAAAAATTATTTCTCTTCTGTTTCGGGTGTTACTTCTAAGTTGAACATAGTTAACTTCACTCTGGACGATGGAGAATGGCAGCGAGCAGGGTATGAACCCTGCCTGGTCGTGCAGTTTGCGCGCTGGACTGTCATTCGGATTTATCGATGGTCCCTGGTTCAATGACGGTTCCTGACTAGGAAGTAAACTATCTTCAACTGTGAAGAAACATGTGAAACAATCAAACAAACAACCCGGGACCGTCGAGATAATTAGTTCAGAACGCTAACAGCACGACCAGGCTGCTCTTAACTTAATAATAAACTGGTTACAAAATAATTGCCTATTATTGATAAAGAGATATATTACAGCATGACATCTATCGGATATGTACAATATGTCAGACGAGAGATTTTAGATAATCTTTCAGCATTGATTTAATTAAAAAACAAAAAAAGAAAAGAACAGATATATTGTGCTTGTACTTCGATGTCTCAGCACAGTTAGGCCTATCAACAGAGATATTGGCATTTCATTTAAATGGAACTAGAATGAGGATGTAGATCTACCTAAATTAAACTTCTGATTTAGCACTCTTAAGATCTACCTATATCTATTAGATATAGATCTAAAATATAAATTTGGAATAATGTAGATGTAATTTAAATAAGATTTATGTACAACATTAAATTTAAAAATAGTAGATTAGTTTTAGTATATTTTAACATTGCAATATTGATCAAGACGTTTGGGCATATGTAATCACCAGGCGCCGTTGCATTTTCACCCTTCTTTCTGCTTCTGTTGTGTATGGCATCTGCAATCCGAGACCCTTCCTTTATGCTCACTCTCCATGTGCTACTTTTTCCCAGCTGCTAATGTCGATTTTAAAGAGCTTTTTGTCGCGTTTGCATACATCTGTATACCGTAAAAGTGGGCAACCAGCGGCTCTCCTGCCTTCTATTAGATCGCCATACAGGATGTCTTGTGGAAGTCAACCTACTGGCATTCTACGAACGTGACCAAGCCAGCCAAGGCGTCTGCTGCTGATAGCAGAGCGGATGTCCTGGCACCCTGCTCTTCGTAGCACTTCCTCATTGGTTACCGGTATTTTATCTTACCACCTTATTTTAAAGATCCGCCTTAGACATCGGAGGTGGAAGACATTCAGCTTTTTTTTCCTGCCATGAGTAGGTTGACCATGTTTCACTTCTGTACAGCAAGGTGCTCAACACACAGGTCCAGTAGACTAGGGCTTTAGTACTGTTAGCAATATGTTGTCCCACACTCTTTTCTGCAACCGTGACATGGTGCCCATTGCTTTGGCTATCCTGTTGTTAATGTCTTTATCCAGTAGGGTATTGTTGGATATGATGAAGGCAAGATAGCAAAAGTGATCAACAATTTCTAGAGGTTGGCCATTAATGTTTACTTGAGGTGCAGTGTTTGCGTTTTGGACAAGTATCTTAGTCTTGCTTTGACTAATATTTAAGCCGAACTTTTGGCAAGCAGCAGATAGTTTGTCAACCAGGGACTGAAGCTGAATATCAGAATTAGCCACAATAGCTGCATCATCAGCATACAGGAGTTCCCTGATAAGAATCTTCATAACCTTGGTTTTTGCCCGCAGCCTTGATACATTAAATAGTTTTCCAGAGGATCTTGTATGGAGAAACACACCTTCGTTGATGTCCTTGTACGCATAATGCAGTAGACAGGAGAAGACTTAGACTATCAGAACACAGGAAAATCTGTGCACAGATGTGACCTGAACATCAATAGCTCTCTATGGACCTTCAAATCACAATTAAGAAAAAAAAAAAAAAAAAAAAAAGAGCCAAAAACAAGATAAAAGACAATGTTGCTTTAAGAAAATATTTTCACCTGTATATAGCAGAATGTGTCCTTTTTGCTTAGTGGGCCCATTAAAGTTATATCTATTAATGCCACAGTTGTCAGGCTAGTAATCATTTAAACTTATGCAAACAAGCAAAAAAATTTTAAAAAGTAATTTAAAAAAAAAAAAAAAAAAAAAAAAAAAAAAAGCTTATCTAAGAGGAAGAATTCCACATTTACAGCCATATAGGTAAATACTGTAATGTTTATTTCCCTTTTCAATATCAAACAAATGTAATTAATTACCACTATTTAATTATTAATTTTTTTTAATTTTTTTTTCCTTATTGAACTGTTTTATGCATAACAATGAATAATTGTGTACAATTTCAACTTGACCAGACATTGGGGCAGTGGGAGAAATAATTGTGTTCAAAATATGAAACAGAACCACAGGTTGAGTGGATAAAAGCTTTAAAAAAAAACAAACAAAGGCCTCATTGTAGTCAATATTAAACATTATAAATTGTTCAGATGTGGAGGGGATTTTTTTTTTGTAAATGAAAAAAAAAAAAATGTATATACATACATGAAAGTGGAATCATTTACTATCAAGCCTCTGTCACTAACAAAATATTATGGACATGTCAACTGGCAGTATTCTCAATTTTTAAAAAAAAAAAAAAATGATTTAAAATATCAACAATGATGTCAGAAAAAAAGTCTTTCAAGCAATGACTATAATCAGAAAGACACACACTATCCATCTCATATAGAAACAAATCAGAAAGACAAACACTCTCTTCATTACAAATCAGTAACACACTCTCTTTTATCTTAGAAACAAATTGATTATGTCACCAATATTATGTGCCTTGATTTCATAATGTTCACCACTGGCTAAAAGAAAAAGACAGCCATAAAGGTCTGTCCATAAATACAATTACAATTAGGTAAATGTGATTGCCACATACCCACTTAGGGGTGACACTATCTATGAGTGACAAACTTAAAACTACCAGACTTAAAGAGAGACCAGTTAAAAGTGACACTATCTACAGTGACAAATTTAAAACTTAAAACTACCAGACTTAAAGAGAAACCCAGTGACGTCATTTTGTTTTCTAACTTTTGTATATTCCTTCAATGGAGTGCAGTGGTTTATGTGCTTGGATTTCCAAACCAGGGGTTTTGAGTTTAAATCCTAGTGAAGATTGGGATTTTGAATTTCTGGATAAGATGCCCCTCAGTTGACCCAACTCTAATGGGTACAGGACATAGGTTAGAGAAGTAAAGGTAATTGGTTGTGGTACTGGTCACATGACACCCCTCATTAAATATCACCCAGAGAAATAGACAAGCTTTACAATATCTGCCCCCTTTGATTGCAAAGTCTAAAAAAAAAGAATTGATTTTCGCTTTCTTGCCCAAACCTTCTGCTGAAGGACAGGGGTTTAAACTCTGTACCATTGTGATGGCAATCTGAAGTGCATACCACATGACCAGGCAGCCATCTTTCTTCTCTTGTGAGCATTGGATAATTATTTACAAGCTAATGGTTATTTTCTATTCAACACATACATGCAGAATATAGTTAAAAACTAAGTTTTTTTAAAAACATTTACTGGTTTACAAAATACAACAGAACAGGGAATAATGTTCACATTAACCCATTAACTGCCATGATCCCCATTTGGGGATCAGGTACTTTAACCCACCTACTAACGCCATCTGTGACCAAGACATAGAAACAGGGTTGTTGCATCATCCAACAGAATGTTGCCAGTGATGAGAAACCTATAGCGATCACGTGCCTGTCATGACTTGCGCACATGAGCCCTTTTGCGCGCTCAGGTCCCCGTTTTTTGTCATGAAAGAGAAACGTGATTTTTTATAGCAGAAAAGACGTTTTCCGCCGTGGCTAATTTCCAGCAGGGCGAATTTTTCTTCATTCCTGGTTAGTATAGAATACTATAGTAGACTTTTTGCGTTGTCAATGTAATTTACTTGGGAACAGTGGACACAAATACCTCAAGCCCCATCTGGGGCTCACGACTGATATCGAGTAGAATCTCACCACATTTTTATATTGTCTTTTGCAGTATATGGCTCGCCAACATGAGGTTCTTTCTCTAAAGGAAATCGAGGATATTCTCAATGCCGATGACTTCTTCAATTCTGACAATGAGGACGACAATAATGGTCCAATAGATATTGTTGAACTTCCTCCAGAACTGGTCGATGAAATGTCAGACTATGAAGATTTTGATGACAATATAATTGATGATGAGGAACCATCAGATGTTCCCTGATTTGTTGAAATTCAACATGCGACTGGAAACAATGAACCTGCAATAGGAGTGGACCAGTCTGCGCCGTCAACGAGTACAGCTATGACAGATGCAGGTCCACCACCATCTAAAAAGAGAATGACGACTTTAACTTCAAATTGGAAGAAGAGACAACCCAGTTACTCCAAAGTGTATCCAAATGCTGATGATGTGCAGAGAAGAAGGAGTGCCCTCATTTGCGAACTACAGGGGAAAAGCCCGGTTGACTGTTTCGAGAAGATATTTGATGACGAAATTGTCTCCAATATTGTCAAACAGACCGTTATATATGCCACGCAGAAAAACGTTCATGATATCCAACTTTCAAACGAGTGCATCAGGAAATTTTTTGGAATTCTTCTCTTCACTGGATATCATTCTCTTCCTCAAGAACAATTATACTGGTGTGAAGATGAGGACATGGATGTCCAATGCGTGAGACAATGCATGAGTCGGAACAGGTATCTGGAAATCAAGCGGTATCTCCATGTCAGCGACAACTCTGAGTTAGAAAGTATTGCACCACAGGAACGTGATAAGCTCTTCAAGATTCGTCCAATAATCGACCAACTGAACGAGAAGTTTCTGCAATATGGCGTGTTCTCGGAAAATGTGAGCATTGATGAACAAATGGTTCGATACTACGGGCACCATTATCTGAAGCAGTTCATACGCGGTAAGCCCGTAAGGTTTGGATTCAAACAATGGGCGATTTTCTGCTCAGAAACTGGCTATTGCTATCAAATGCAAGTGTATGAAGGCAAAGCAAGAGACGGAGATGATCCAGCCGTGACGGGACTTGGATCATCTGTTGTCCTGAAGATGATTTCGAATTTGGAAACACCAGAAGCTCACAAGGTTTACTTTGACAATTTCTTCACCGGATTCGCTCTTATGAAACATCTGCAAGATGTTGGTGTCCGAGCAACAGGAACAGCTCGATTCAACAGAATGAACAAATGTCCAATTGCAACAGACAAAGAAAAAAGATAGAGGGGCATATGATTACAGATTTGATATGAAGAATGAAATTTTGGCTGTCACATGGAACGACAACAGCTGTGTGAGGCTGCTGTCGAATCATGAACCCATCGAACCTGTCTCACCTGCCTGGAGTAGAACTGAGAAGAAGGATGTTCTTGTCCCACAACCAAGACTGATCACAGAATATAACACACATATGGGAGGAGTAGACAAGATGGACTGGAACGTCCAAAAATATAGAATCAGGATAAGAGGGAAAAAATGGTACTTTCCTTTGCTTACAAATGCCATTGACATATCAGTGATGAACGCCCACGCTCTATATTGTATCGCAAATGGTCAAATTCCCATGTTGGATTTTAGAAGAATGATTTGCAGAGCTTATCTTGCTCTGACTTCATCAATATCCGATCCGAAAAAAGCTGGAAGGAAATCTTTCGCTAAGTCTTCAATGAAGCGTGTTCCTGTAGATGTCAGAACATCTGGATATCACTGCATCGACCGCACTGAAATGGGGAAACAGAGGAAATGCGCAGTGTGTAAGAAAAATGCAAGGAAAGAATGCCGTAGATGCAATGTGGGATTACATCTGGAATGCTTTAAAAGTTGGCATCAAGTATAGACGGTATGTGCCATGATCCCCATTTGGGGATCGGGCTAAAATTGCAAATTTTGAGAAAAATATTTATGCTGAAATTCAAAATACGTGTTTTTCTTACTAATGGGATGTAGGGAGACCGAAAAAAAGTAAAAAATTCTCAGAAAAAAATTTGGCAGTTAATGGGTTAAAATGGTTGTAACACAACAAGGAATAATGTTCACATTTATATGGTTGAAACAGAACAGGGAATAATATTCACACATAAAATGTTTGTTTGATGTAAAATATTTTTTAAAAAATGGGATTAAAATGTATAATGAAAATAAAAAACTTTGTTCAGAGCAAGTAAAAAAAAATCCTCACGTGAAATAAAACAAAGAAACTATCAAACTACAACTCATTCTTGTCTGTAAAACGTATTCACACTTTTTGTTAAGCATGCTGTATCTACTTGATACCTATATAAAACCACACACATCATTCTCACTACACCTCACTTGATATGACCTTTTCTTATTCTTTTCTTTGGTGAACCTCCCAAACTAAATGTTTATCTCGTCTAACATCTCTGTACTGTAGATCCTAAGTCTTAAAATTATTTCCTTATGATATACATAAGGGTTCTATCAGGTTGTTATCGCAGGAAGTGGTAATGGATATAAGCTCTCCATTACCTTAAATACTTCAAATGGCACATATCTCAAGAAGCCTATGACAACCAATCCAGTTACTGGTCTGTTATCACTGACAGGACAGGGTGCAAAGGCAAGCAACTGGGGCTTAAATCAGTCATCTTTGGGCAGGAGGAGCTTGCTAGCCTTGGCTGACATTGTATGGACCGTAGCTAATGCCCAGGCTTTCATTTCTACGAGGTAATCCATAGTCACTTCCTAACTGAAAGATGCTGTAGATATATTGATAGACATTCTATCATCTACATCTCAACTACTATACCAGGTTGCATTATGGATTAGATAAAATAAATACATTTTTGGCAAAAAGAAAACATGGAACCACTCAGTAATTATTCCCAATGACAAGCATTATTTTTTTCTAGTTGTCATGTAGTGATAGGTGCTGTATATAACACTTTTATATTATGCTCAAACACATGCACAAACATACAGTAGTAATAAAAAAGGTAATGGCTAACAAGAATAATATTTGTTTTAAACTTAAAATATGGTAAATGAATCTACATTGATGGGACTATGAGCATGAATAAGTTAAGGTATATATTTATATTAATATAAACAATAATTAAATTATTTGTAGGAAGTTACAAGAGTTAAAAAAAAAAAAAAGAAAACTGTTTGAAATGTAAAAAGAAACAAAAACAGTTATCTTCACATGGTTGTGAGTTGTCTTTCCTTAGTATTTCAACAGTTATATCACTGTTACACTCCCACCCCAAATAAAAGCCATTATTGCGAAAAAGGGGGCAGGGTGATATTTCCCATAAACCCAGGCTCAAATCCAAGTCTGGTCAGGTGTACTAACATTCTAAATGGTCATCAACTATAAGATAAAATGAGCTTCGTCTTCTTGGTTTTAATTGACTTAAAACACTAGAGATATGCTTAGTCGCTATCTTATTATCCAAAGCATCAAAGTGATTCCAGATTTTAAAGAGTTCAAGCATTTATCTTAAAATTTACAAATAATTTTTTTTTAATAAGATACTAACTAATATCATACACTTATACTTATGTTTATCTGGACATTTATACTATATTGAGATTAATTATTAGTTTTTTTTCACAATTACCCCAGCTAATCCAGG